AGGAATACCTTTGGTATGTTAAAGATGATTATAAAGGCAGGCCATTTTCTGAGTATGTCTGTTGCCAAAATAATCAGTTCTTCATAGGACATGATGCAAAGCTTACCAGTATTTTTATCTTGTTCAGATTATCTGAATCAAATTATTTTGGTCAGACTAGACCTTTAGTTTCAGTTGGCTTTTTAATGGATTTAAAGAGAGAGCCTCTCTCTGAGCAAACCAGTGGCAGAATATTATTTCAGATTTGCTTATGATCTCCTCTGCTGATTATTTGCTTGCACACCCTATAATTTTGGTGTTGCTAGTGATCTTTCCTTCTTTCATAATTTTGTCTGCAAATCTGTCTGAAATACCTTGGATGTGATAAGACCAGCACATAAACTAAATTGCAGAATTAAAAAAATCATGTATTTCTGTTTTAATATGTAACTTTCAGGAAGCACAGGCTTATGCAGATGACAACAGCTTATTGTTCATGGAGACATCTGCTAAAACATCTATGAATGTAAATGAAATATTCATGGCAATTGGTAAGTAATAAGACTATTACCCAGCTCTTTTCTTCTTGTTACTTGAATTGTCTCCCCCTCTGTGGCTCTCAGCTTCACTGGGAACTTGTGTTACAGCTCTTTTTTTTTTTTTAATCTAAAATTGGACAAACTTATTGGGAGCGCAGATGTACGGGCTTCATCTTTTGCACCAAAAATTACCCCATTACCACTCTCAGAATAAGAATTCCTGTATCACTTCTGAACCCAGGAGTTGTACATAGCAACCTTAACTTATTCCCATTGTGTAACTATTCTGGTTCAATTCTGTTTTAAGATTACAACAAAATGAGTAAAAATACAAAATGTACTATATATTGAAAGAGCTCTTTCTTATGGTCACATGGATAGAAAATACTTTGACTTACTGCCTCCTAAAAGCAAGTCGTCTTACAAGGATTTTTTTCTTTAAAATGAGTCAGATGGTCTTGAGTTTTTGAAAGAACACTGACAAACCCTTTACAATTGAGACACATGGGGCTGGAAACGTGCCTTCTGATGTTTCTACAGAGATTAAAATACGTTGGGCTTTACTAGAGGCAAATAGTAGTACTAAATGAGGCTGGGAATGTTGACTTTGCACTGAAAGGAGGATAAAGAATTGAAACATCTGGAATGTTCTAATTTTCACTAAATATGCCCTAAATGTATTAATTCTATATGCAGCAACCCAAGCTCCAGGAAATGTTGCAAAAGACAAGACAAATGGGTATCTGGTTTCAGTATCCATGTTGAATAAAAAGCGGAAAGACCATGTTTGATTTAAAAGCAGATTGTTTAAAAACAACTTAAAATACTAGTAGTCTCCCAGAAACTTCTGGGGCCCTCTGAAAGTAAAAGTCACAATTGTTATTCTAGTCATAAACCTAATTTGATTTTTTTTTTTTTTTTTTTTTTTTTTTATAACGGAATAATTACAGAATTGAAATGGAATGCAAACAGGATTGGTTCAGATTGTGTAGCTTTAGCAGCCTCGGACCTTAATCTATATATATAAGGGCTTAGTCCATCTGTCAGTGTGCCCATCTGTCTTTAACGCTCTTGGGGGGGCACAGCTCCTGCCAGTGCTGTGTCAAGAATGCCTGTCAAGGATGATGGGCAGGGATGGAGTGCTACCACCCCATGCCACCGTATCCTCCAAGGAGCGGGGGAGGAGTGGGGAAGTTTGCACACGGTGGCTTCCGCTGCCCCGCGCTGCCATCACTCCACATCTGGCCACATACAAGTTTCCTCTCCGCCATCCCTCCCAGCTTCTGGGAAGCAGGGGAAGTGGAGGTAGCGCCAGATGCAGAGCGATGGCAGCGTGGGGTGGTGGTGGCGGTGGCGGCCGTATGCAAGTTTTCCCCCCCTCCCCCGGCCTCCTGGGAGGCGGCTCTGCAGGGTGGTGGTGCTCCACTCTCTCCTCTCCAGCCCCCTGTCATTCTTGGTGAGCAATTCGCTAGTCAAAATATAAAATTACTGCCATACTGAATGTCTGACTAATTGTTTGTACAAAGGTAAATACATAAGGGTACACATTAGTGTTATATCTCCATCATATTCTTCATGCACTAATCTCATGAAACTCTTAAATACCTGAAAATTCTCAAATATACGTTCTATTCACAGCAGTGAAATTTACATCTATCGTTGCGGATTGGCGTTAGTGAAACAGAAAGCAAAAAAAAGCAAGCATGATTACTTAAACATCCAAAATTGCTAAATCTGTGTTTAAAGCCCAGCAATAGTCCTGCTGTGAAATACTAATAAAAAATATCAAGTAGCTATATCGATGTGACAGTTCTGCATTTCTTATTACAATAAGCTCAGATTGGGCACGTCTACACGAGACGCTGACTGCACGGTAGTATTAGGCTACTGTGCAGTGGTGTCACAAAGATGTTTGCCAGTGATACTGTGAAGTAACTCTGCTTATTGTACATTTTATTTAGTACTTGTTACTGCACATTTATTTAGTACTTGTATAAACTACTGTGCAGTAGCATCTCCTGTAGAGGCACTCAGTGTCTAGTTTTAAATATCATGGTTTCTCATAAATAGCAACATAGCTATTTCTTGTATATTAAAGTCAAATGTTCTTAATTTTGTGTTATCTTCTCCTTTCTGTTTAACAGAAACAGGTGCACAGGTGATCTAGAACATACTCAGCTATAGTAAATAATGTATAAAAATTTGCCAGGGCTTATACTTACAGATGGTCTATCATTTAATGTGCGTTATTTCACAGTAATTAAAGGTCTTACAAATCTATGAGGCAAAAATATAATCTACAGCTTCATGATAAGTATTTGAAACAACCCTAAATTTGTTGCGGAAATGCCAAGTCGCAGCCGTAGTGAATTTTTTAAAATAAATTTTAATGACATGCTCTTAAATACAGGCTCTCCCTGTATTTAATGTAAATGTAGCAAAATAATTTACTATTTTCCTTAGCACCCATTACTGTAATACCTGCACATAGTATCTTGGTGTTCTTGTTCATACAGACTTTCTCATATGCATTCACGTATCAAAATTCAGTCATTAAGAAGTATTCCTGAAATAGACCAGTATATAGCTAAGACATAAAAATAAGTAGTGAGTTGGCCTCCTGTACTCATTGAATTGAATCCTTTTGAGAACTGCATGAACATGTGTTAGTTTTTCAATTTCCCTTATTCCTCAGAATAACAAAGCAGTTAAGAAATCTTTTTGGCTTAAATAAAAAAAAAAAAAGGGGGAAAAGTCACAGTGTTCCTGAAATAGACCAGTATATAGCTAAGACATAAAAATAAGTAGTGAGTTGGCCTCCTGTACTCATTGAATTGAATCCTTTTGAGAACTGCATGAACATGTGTTAGTTTTTCAATTTCCCTTATTCCTCAGAATAACAAAGCAGTTAAGAAATCTTTTTGGCTTAAATAAAAAAAAAAAAAGGGGGAAAAGTCACAGTGAACTGCAAAATGGCCACTTCAGACCTGCCTGGCTCTGACTAATACAAAGAGCTAGCTGCACAAAGATGCACTAAAGAAGAATATAAAAGGGAGATAACAGAAATGTAATAGGGACCTTGCAGTTACAAAGTGTGGTGGAAGGGAGATGCATTGGAGTCTCCTTGCACTGTCTTGAACAGCAAAATCCTGTAGTTCTCTTTACTAAGTTCAACTACTTACTGGTACATAGCTGTTTCTTTCTCATATTTTTATAATATTGTCTACTAATGCATTTGTCCATTTTTCCTTTGGGAGAAATCATGATGCTTCACCAGCCACCTTGCTGATGTGTAGACATGCAAAGCAAACTGTGGGATGGAAATAGTTATCAGACCCTGGGTTAGTGCAAGAGTTTCATCAGAGAAATAATAGAAAGTTAGGGTTGGAAGGGACCTCAGGAGGTCACCTAGTCCAACCGCCTGCTCAAAGCAGACCAGGCCCAACTAGGTCATCCCAGCCAAGGCTTTGTCTAGCCGGGTCTTGAAAACCTCCAAAGATGGAGATTCCACTGCCTCTCTGAGTAACTTGTTCCAGTGTTTTACTATCCTGCTACTGTGAAAATTCTTCCTAATGTCTAACCTAAACTTCCCTTGCTGCAACTTGAAACCATTGCTCCTTGTTTTGTTATCTGCCACCACTGGGAACAGTGTAGCTCCATCCTCTTTTGAACCCCCATTCAGGTACTTGGAAGCTGCTATTAAATCCCCCCTCAGTCTTCTCTTGTCTAGACTAAATAAGCCCAGTTCCCTCAGCCTCTCCTCAGAAGTCATGTCCTTCAGCCCCTCACCATTGTTGTCACCCTCCGCTGGACTCTCTCCAGTTTGTCCACATCCTTTCGGGGGTGGAGGGGGGGCAGCAAAACTGAACACACTACTCCAGATGTGACCTCATCAGTGCTGAACAGAGAGAAATAATCACTTCCCTTGACTTACTGGCAACACACCTACCATTGTAGCCCAGGATGCCTTTAGCCTTCTTGGCAACAAGGGCACACTGCTGGCTCATATTCAGCTTCTTGTCCACTGTAACCCCCAGGTCCTTTTCTGCAGAGCTGCTGCCCAGCCAGTCAGCCCCCAGCTTGTACTGGTGCATGGGATTGTTCTGTCCTAAGTGCAGGACTTTGCACATGTCCTTGTTGAACCTCATGAGATTTCTTTTGGCCCAATCCACCAATTTGTCAAGGTCACTCTGAATCCTAGCCCTACCCTCCAGCATACCTGCTACTTCCCACACCCCCAGCATATATGCTAGCTCCACCCCCCCCCACCCCCCCGTTTGGCATCATCTGCAGACTTGCTGAGGGTGCACTCTGTCATTTTCCAAATAGTTGATAAAGACATTGAACAAAACCGGCTCCAGGAAACTGCCCCAGTTTCCCATAGCAAGGCGCAAGGTTGTCCTGTAAAATCCCTTCTCCTGTTCCTCTGTATTGAGAACTGACTCCTCCAGCAGAAGACTGGTAGGAACTACTGTACAGGAAGGTGAAGAATTGTTAAGTTATTTTGGCTGCAAAATTCTCCTTTTTCAGTCCGGATTTATAGAGGCATTTACACTACCGAAGGACAAATGTCAATTAACAAACTTAAGAATACTATAAGGAATGGGCAGCTCGGGTGAGATGGGATAACTAGAACAAGAGCTAAGGGCTGCTTATTTGTGTATGCAAATGCATAGCCTGGCTAGGTGGCAGTTGGAAATGTATCAGTTCCCTTCTTTCTTTTGATAAGATCTGTGTGGTTATGGCCAGTTTCTTATATGTTGTATTCCTACCTCCTCTCATTTCCTTTCTTACAGTTGATCACTTTTCAGAGCAGTGCTGTGTTTTTTGTTTGGAGATTGTCTAGCATACTGTGGCTTTTGTAAACAAAAGTTCTCTGGCAGCTTGTTCTGCTAGAACAAGTTCTCTGGCAGCACACACATGACCTATCTCCATTGACTTAATTCCTTGGAGAAAAAGAGGAACACCTACATGAACCAAGCCCTTTGGTGAGGGCTAAAGTCACTAATCACTGTGATTGTTGGATGTTTTGGGCTATTTCAAAAGAGATTTTGTCACATTTGTGTAGGAAGTGATGGCTTTTAAGGTGGTCATAAGTGGTTTTAATCCTGCTCAGACATTGAAGCCTAATCATCAGATGGCTTGTCGAGCTGCTATTCTGTTGGTAAATATATATTTTAGAACGAGTACACCACCTGAATATTTGTTTACTAAGTCATTTTGCAAGTCCAAGCCTGAATAATAACTTTTGCTTACTCTTTCTTGTTAATCTTGTAGCTAAAAAATTGCCAAAGAATGAACCACAAAATGCAGGAGCCAACTCTGCCAGAGGAAGAGGAGTAGATCTTACTGAACCCACACAACCAACCAAGAGTCAATGTTGTAGTAACTAAACCTTCAGTTGCTTTAAACCGTCTCAAATATTCTTCTGCTTCCTAACTGTTAATAACAATGGAATTGGAGTGTTTAACCCTGTCCAATACAACTTCCAAAACAAAGAAGAGACTTATGACATAGTCAAGTTTCTAATACAGAGTTTTGTTTTGACCTTAATTTTTAACATGCATGTATCACTGGCTGTAATGTTTCAGCAATAGAGGTGGGGGAAAAGGAAGCTGAATAAACTTGTTTCAGTTGCAAGATTTTTAAAATATCACTTGCCATTAGGGATAAAGAAGAACTGCTTTTATTGACCTAATCAACTAGTTTCTCCACATCCAGGTATTGATGGTTATTATTATATAATGAATAGAATTGGAACTCTTCAAACTTATTTGTGCTTTAAAAAAAACTTTCTAGAAACAGGGTCTAAAGTTACTTTAAGCTTATTCACAGTATTCATGCAGCCAGTTGCTTTGGTAGATATCTCCTGGTTAATTATACATTCCACGTTTTAATAATTTAACTACAAACAATACTGGCAGCATTAACAAGTCTAAGATTCTCATGCTTGCAGAAAACCAGATTTTGAGTTGTTACACTGTATGTAAATTATAGTCTATCCAGTTATTTAAAGGAAAATAGTGGTAAATCAAGTTCAACTCCATTTTTATCTGTTTAGAAGAGACAAACCAATGAATCAGCTTCACAGAACTAGGATTTTTTTCTACAAACCATAAGAGCTCTCCAAGTAAAACCAAGACAAACTAGGTGTCTGTGATTTCTTTCTTGTTTTTGATCATTGCTGGCCATTGCAGTTTGTTTTTCCCTTAAGGAAAGAAACCTAGTTGGTGCACTAACAATCATGTACATTCAACTTGATTTTAAATTTGGATATTAATGTACTGTAAATAGGGTACTCTGCATTGTAGTCTACATTTGTTTAATACTTTCTGTAATATTTAAGAGTTGCTTAAAAGTATACAAATGTACAGTTACTTAAAGCTAACGTTTTGTCCCTAATCTAAGGGGGTTCTAAGTTCTTCCTTTATGGCCAGAACAGTAATAAATGATGCTCTTGTACCTGTAACATAAGTACTGCTGTCTGTCAGTAATGAACTTTGCAACTTTTGTTTTCCAAAGTCCATTTTATTTTGATCTGTCCAGTATATTGCACTAATTCTTTTAGTTTATTTTCATTATATGAAATCTACCAAGTGTGTCTGAAGAGATAGTCTATTTAAATGTTGATCTGGTAGCAGAAATTTACCTGTGCAGATTGTAAATTTGGGCTTAGCAAGGAAAATGACAGTTCACCAGTGTTTAGTTTTATATTGAGGTGCTCAGGTTTGAATAAAGTGGTATAAAACAGGAAAGTAGTGTGACTAGTGTTTATTGCATTTCATAACTTTGTAGCTAGTGCATTCACACAGTTGTATATGAGATGTAGGGATGTTTACGAGTAAATTTACATGACATTTGCCAAATTCAGGCTTATTATACACACGGTGCTACTCTACTAAGCATGTGGTATATGTTATATGCTAATATAATTGGGTATCTTGTCACATCCATTCAGAAGTACAACTAAAATAGTAATGTTTTCTCTAGAACCTGCTGCTAGCGCAGTCTTTACCAGTTGTTTGCTAATATAATTTGCTGCATTCTCATAGAAGGTCTCAGAGTTATTTCTTCTTCGTCCTGCCGTTTGTGAGTGTGATTCACGATTGTTAGACGCACCTACTTCTGTAACATCTTCCAGCTTTTCCACTACTTCAAAATGTTCTTGAGTGATGGAGCCTAACTGGATTATTTCTGTGTTTTGTGAACATGGTCTGTGATTATCAGAGAGACACACTTCTGTATCACGTTGTTTTCTATGGTCATCTAGTTCATGCTCTTTTTCCAAACTCTCTCTGAAACCTGGCTGCAGTTTGTCTTCGTTTTGCAAATGTCTACTGTTGTTAGACAAGTGCGAACTTGCATCATTTTGTTTTGAACTGTCTTCAGATTGATTCAGAAAAACATTTATATTAAAATATAGTAAGTTGACTTCTTCCATTAGGTCATTAATGCCTTTTGAATCATTCACGTCATCCACAGTGGGAACCATTGAGTCCTGCTGTTTACACACAGAAAACTCTAGCTCAGCATGTTTGTACATTTCCAAATAATAGGTGAACATTGTTAATGTTAATTTAACCACTTCACTTTTATCCAAAACTTCCCAAAGCCCATTAGAAGCTAAAATGAGGAATTGACATGAATCATCTACAGGAATAGAGGTCGTATGAGGTACAGGAATAATGGATTTTTTCAACTTTGGGTCTCCATGATGTCCAAGGCCACGAGTAGCTCTGATGAGTCCTTCTACTAGTCCTTTGGGTTCATTTGTACTGATGTTCCCACCATTTTGAAGGATACGTGTTCTCTCAGTTAAATTTGAAGTGCTGTGCTCTTTGGTAAGGCAGTAGCCTTTTCCATGTTTGCATAAGACTGCATGTACATTACCTAAAATTAAAATATTGCATTTCATGATTGAACAGAAATTCGTAATAAACAGTGTTGCTGATAGGTCAGTCACAGTAATGAGTCTTATTTGGTGACATGAATCTGGACTAGACATTCTGGGGTCCCTCCTATTGTGTGTAAGTCATGTCATGCATGTCATTTTTATCTAGTTACTAATCTCCATTTTAAAACTACTTTTGTTTTGCTTTTTTCCCATCGTGATAGACTCTTTCAAAATCTCACCAGCCTTGTTAAAAACCTATTCTTGGACTGATACTTTGTGTTGTCCTTTTTACATAGCTTTTGTGTAGCTTATGTTATGATGTACACTGACATGTATCCTTAAGCTATCTACTATGAATGGTCTCAAGTTAGCTTTGGAAGGCATGCATACTTTCCAAATAAACCTGGCTTTAAAAGCTATTAAGTTTTTAAATTTGATTTAAATTATAAATATTTTGCCAAGAATATAATATGTTCCAAATTACCTGTTAATACTATACCCCATCTTACAGTTTCAAAGGGAGGTAGTCAAGTATTAATGAATACACTGATTTTTCTAGTGTGATATAGAAGGACATTCAAAGGCAATTGAGAAGGAAGTTGAATTTATAGAAGAGAAAATGTAATTGTGTTAGCATTTCTTATTCAAATCAGAATATGCTTGTTAGTGAAAAAGACTTTAAAAACATAGGCTTTAAAAATTGTAGAACACCAACGCAGGAAATGTAAATTAAAGCTACAGAAAGTGACTGACTTGATTTTAATTTGTAATTTACTATGGTATTTTAGCACTATGTAATGTGTGTTTCATATACAGACTGGGATAGTATGAATAGGTTAACTTAGGCCCCCTCTATATGTTACAGATATTGTGCAATTAACTGGTTAATTGCATAGTTGCCTTGAGACCAGCTACACGTGAAAGTACCTATCATGCCATAAAATAGTGCTTCTGGTGCTGAGAGATCTCAGCTGCTGCAGTCTTCCAGCTTGGGGGCTTTTCCCACCCATGGGGCTGGAAGGTCACAGCTGCCGTGATCTCCCAGCCTCAGGGGTGTGTGAAACCTGGCGCTAGGAGAGCCCCTCCTGCCCCAGCTGCAGGAGCTTGCTTCTTGCTGGTACAGGGGGAGCCTGGGATCGGGCTCCCCCTGCACCAGCAATAAGGTACAATGGGATCTAATGTGAGTACCTCCTGTCATGGACATGTGTGGCGTGGTAGGAGGTGCAACTGTGTGGATCATGCGTTAGATCCCCTTGTGCCTTTACCTGCATATGTGGAGGGTCCTTTAGGAACAGTACAGTTCTAGCATTTGCTTTTGACCAGGGCTGGCCAACCTGCAGCACTACTACTACAAGTGATATGGGCTGTCTCTGTGGCACATGACATACGGAGGGGACAGACAGCATAGTAACAGATAGGGCAGGGACTAGAAAACAAAACATCAAATCAAGCAAGGAACAGAAAGGTAAGCAGCAAATTGCATAAGGGAATGGTATGGTACTGGGGGATAGTGCAGCACTGCCCCACACTTGTGGATATAACAACATTGGTTGTTATGTTGCTTTTTAACTTTTAAAGTATTTTTTTAAATTTTATTTAATAACATGCATTCCTTTGCAAGATCTAAATTACTTTCTCCTTATGCTGGCATAAGGATTTTCAGCTGCAGAGATCAACTTGTTACAATAAAATATAAATTATTTTTTTTAACAATGCAAATTAGAACAACATAGCTAGAACTGGGTGGTTTTCAGGAAAACAGTAACTTTTGGTGATTTTTATGAAAGGGACAAGAGAAGCCTCTCATCTTAAGACCTTCAAGGACCTGCCTATTTTATTAGTTCCATTGAAAGGTCCAACAGAATTTCACCCTGGTGAGGGTTGTCTTGTGTCTCTTCCTGGATTAATATCCTGCTTTTTTTTTTTGGTATTTGAGTAGACTCAGGTTTCTGGCAATGGAACTGAACTTTATCCTTGTTATTAGATTGCCTCATGGGAATTGGTGTGTGGCCTTTGCCTTAGCAACTAGAAAACAGTGGCTAGACTGGGTTGGAAGATACCTATAAAAGTTCCTGTATAGATCAGACTTGCAAACAGGATCTGGGGAGGTAAAGGATCTGTTGTTCGAGCAGTTTTGGCTCTGCAGTATTAACACATCTAAAAGGGAGGGGGATTCAATTCTTCCCATATCAACAGAATTTCAAAGCAGAACTCTAATGCAGATGGGAGGGAGCAAAGGAAGTGTTAAAGCAGCAGTAGTGTTATGAATGCTGTGTTCTCCAAAGCTGGGTGGGTCATTCATGTGGGGGAGTTAAAATGCGTAGCTGGTCCCTTTGATGGCACCAATGTCAGTTTTGGCTACACACATTTGTGGACATTCTGTTTCAGTTGATCACCCTCTGCCTCAAAAGCTTGTGCACTTCGCATGTAGCAAAGCAATGCATAGACTTCTAGAAACATTAGCACAAAGCTTTCAAGTGTTAATCTCCAGCCATCTACAGTGTGTCAACTTCAGACATGTTCAGTAAATATTTGAGGAAATACTTGAGGAAAATAAGATAGTGATGTTAAAGTTTTGTAGGCTGTGTACAGGCAGCACTCACATTTGAAATACAACTTAGCATGACATATTAATGTGAAGTCTACCTGTGATGGTATGTTAAATAAGGTTTCTCAAATTTTGAATGGGTGGGTTTTATTTTAAGGCCACCTTGTAAGCGGTAAAGCTTTTGATGATTTCTTCATATTTGTGGGGATGCATAAGAATATCAGCTTCTGATGGTAAATAAAGAGAAGCTACAGTAGACTGAATTATTTCTAGCATGTCTGCTAATGTAGCACAGTTGTGAGACCTGTGACATCCCTTTATAACTGCATTAGACTTTACCTGAGAATTGCATGATAGCTTTGATAGTGTCACAAAAAACATCTGTTGGATTTAAGCTTCAAACCACTGCATTTTTCCTGCTACCTCAAATTCATATCTGTTACTCCACTTTTGTAAGGTGATGCACAAGTTGCTTTGTGGGTGTAAGGATGCATATGACCAGTATGTAGGGAGGGGGAGCTTTACTTGAAAGCTGTTATAATTTGATTTTCCAACATGGCTTATTAGGGTGAGTAAAAAGTGAAATATATTTTATAAACTGCAATTATTCATGGCCTTTTATTCCCAAAAGGATTGGTCCAAATTGGAGCCCTGCTTCATGTAGCTACATTTGACTTGGACAGCGGAGTTAATATATTGAGTCCAGGCTGCAGCTTGGGCTGTGGGGGAGGAGAGGAGAAGATATGAGCAGGGCATAGAAGTACAGGTAGTGCTGCAGCTAAGGAACACTGTTACCAAAGAACAGAATCTTCCCAAATTTATTACGTTCAGGCCACAATGCAAGCTCCTTATCCAGTAAAAGGAGTGACAGATTAGTGTCTGCTAGCCAAGAAAATGTTGGAAATGGACTTTTTTATCTGTATGTCTACATTGCAGCAAAAAGTGTGACAGCAGTTTGTGCATATACACCCAAGCTAACTTGAACGTGCAAGCATGGGTATTGATAAGGAAAATTGCAGCAGTGCGGAACAAAGTATAGGCCAGCTGCCTGAATATTTCTCAGATTCCCAAATGGGTCTGCAGGCCACACTGAGTTCTGCTACTTAAAAGTATGCTCTTCAAAACTAGCTTAGGTACATCTGTAAAACTAGTGACAGTCTGCAGAGAGGAATTATATTGAATTAAAGTCCCATTTCACTTGTGGCTGCAATATAATTTGCAGTCTTAAAATCAGTGCCTTTTGCTATAACGACAGGAACATTAGCAATGCAAAGAGATGATTATATAATGTGGTCTGACAGGCCATTCTCTGACATACGAATACTTGTTTGGTAGAGTGAAAAGATGGATATGTGATCAGAGTAATGTATTTAGATGTTTAAAATGATGCAGGAATGTTTCTTACAACATTCCGAAACAAAAATGATTGCATATAATTTTCATGTCAAAATTATTTTTTGTCTTTATTTTTTTGGGGTCATTCAACTCAGGTATGCAATCTGGTTTGTCCCCTATGAAAGCTTGGACACATCTGCAAAGTAAAATGCCTTGCCTGTAATCACAATGGGGTCTTGTTACACAAAGGGATTTTACCTGGAGGAAATGGGAAGCCTCCAGGTAAGTTTAATGGGAGGGAGAAGTGAAAATGTATTATTTTCTGTTTGCAATGTATGTGTTTATCACTATGGCAGTCAGAAGACAAGAATAAGAGTAGTGAAAACAGAATCAGAACAGGGTAGAGCTTCCTTTTTAAAAGAAGTACTTCAGTATGAAAATAATCTCTTAATGTTTCAAAAGTTTGGGGTTAGTCCTACTCAAATGGAAACAATAGACCAAGAGAAGAAAGGACTATTCAAAGCAGATTTCCTTCATGCAATACTGAAAACATCCAAGGCAACTAGTGGTGGAAGCACAAGGGAGAAAGGAAAAAAAAACTCAGTAATTTACATACCAGTATTAGCCACATGTAATATGCCACCATCACTTCTGGATGAATCCATTGAATAGTTGCTGTTGCTGTTTTGGGGCAACTTTGCCTTGTCTTGTTTCTTGATGCAGCCTGGCTTTCCATTGTTGACTCTTTCCAATAAACAGGTGACAGCTGTACAGCCACTCCAGCGAACTTTGGAAACTTCATTCCTTCCCAGCTGTAAAAGTCTGTCCATTCTCCAGAATGCCTTGACATATGCTTTGTGAATCCATTCGTAGGTGTTTGTGCTGGCAGTGTTACCAATCTGTGTTTCACCAAAGAAAATTTTCTCCTGTTCCCTATAATTCTCCTTGATTACTGTGGAAAAAGAGTTTAGAATGGTTTGCTCATCTTCATGCACTTCATAGGAGGAATCGGCTTGAGAAAGTTGGTCAAGAAATAAAAGTGGAAGTTCAGTTGAAACCGTTTCAGCAGCAGACGTGCCATGCCATCCATCAAGCACACCCAAAAAACATCTATCTGATTTCTTTCCATAGTTATCTACCACAACAAATGTGTCTTCCATATCTGGCCTCCACACAGCATTTTTATCTTGACAGACTGCTAAAGCTTTTATTAGAGAATTTCTGACTGTAGGATACCTACAACTGTTGACAATATTATCAGTATCATAATATGATGAACACTTTGACCTATCTTTAAGTAGCTCAAATGAATAATCAATCTTCTGCTTCTCTCTTTCACTGTACTGAGAAGACTTGAGCAGTCTTCTGATTAGTTTCCATCTCCTAGTTAAAAGTGTTTTTGTGTCTATCTCTGACCATGGGTGACTAAAACCCAGAACCATGAGGGCTTTGTGCTCTTTTTTATGATGATGAAGATGACTTGGGTATATTGTTTGTTGACATGTTGAACACAGAACTGGAATATCTTCAGAATCTACTTTCCCAGGCACGGTAGTGACCTTGACATGATCTTCCTCCTCTTCATAAAATTGAAAGTTGGAGGTCTTTGATTTTCTTTGCAACTTTGTTTCCCCTGTCATTCTATAAAATAAATCGACGGTTACTAAGATAATATAAACTTTTAAAACTGACTAAAACCAAGTAATAGAGTCTTCAACTATATTCTCTCTGAGCTGAGTGGGTTTTTTTTTCAATGTCTTGTTGTTGCCTCATTATTTGATATATGGCCCCATGCCTTATTACTGTACACTGTTAAACCCTAAATACAGAACTTTTTCTGTAATACAACAGTATGTATTTTATTAATACACATTTTTCATAGTAATAAAGGAGGTAGTACTTCATAGTTGAGGAAGAGAGCCACAGGGGCTTTCATAAAATCATTGAAAATTAGGGTTGGAAGGGATCTCAGGAGGTTATATAATCTAACCCCTTGCTCATAGCCGGGCCATCCCCAAATGGATCATCCCAGTCAAGGTTTTGTCTAGCCAGGTCTTAAAAACCACCAAGGATGGAGTGTCCACAACCACTCTGGGTAAGCTGTTCCACTGCTTTACTACTTTCCTCCTGAGAGTGTTTTTCCTAATACCCAACCTCCATCCTCTTTGGAAACACCCTTCAGGAAGTTGAAGGCTGCTATTAAATTCCTCCCCCCCTTCTCTTCTCCAGACTAAATAAGTCCAGTTCCCTCAGCCTCTCCTCAGAAGTCATGTGTCCCAGCCCCCTAACCATTTTTGATGCTCTCTGCAGGACTCTCCAATTTGCCCACATCCTTTCTGTAGTGGAGAGCTGAAAACTGGACATAGTATTCTAGATGTGGTTTCACAAATGGCAAATAGAAGGGAATAATTACTTCTTTCCATCTGCTGGCAGCACTGCTACTAATGTAGCCCAGTATGCTGTTAGCCTTCTTGGCAACAGGGGCACACTGTTGGCTCATATTCAGCTTATTGTCCACTGTAACTCCCAGGTCCTTCTCTACAGAGCTGCTGCTTAGCCAGTTGGTCCTCAGCTTGTATTGGTGCATAGGTCTGTTCTGTCCTAAGTGCAGGACTTTGCATTTGTCCTTGTTGGATCTTTTGAGATTTCTTTTACTCCAGTCCTCCAACTTGTCTCTGGATTCTAGCACTACCCTCCAGCATATCTACTACTCCCCATCTGCAGACTTGCCAAAGGTGCGCTCTATCCCATCTGCCAGGTCATTGATGAACATATTCAACATGGTCTTTCACCCCATTTTCATTAAAAAGCTAGGAGACTGTGGTGTTGATGCCCACAGAGTCAGATGGGCCACTAACTGGCTGGAGGGCCGCACCCAGAGAGTGGTGGTGGACGGGTCATTTTTGACCTGGAGGGATGTGGGCAGTGGGGTTCCACAGGGCTCGGTCCTCGGGCCTGCACTGTTCAATATCTTCATCAGCGACTTGGACAAAGGGGTAAAATGCACCCTGATGAGAACAGGATGGGTTTCAACACTGACAAGTGCAGAGTACTGCACCTGGGGAGGAAGAACCAGCAGCAGACCTACATGCTGGGGAACTCCCTTCACATCAGCGCAGAGGCAGAGAAGGATCTTGGAGTCATTACTGAGGCCAATATGAACATGGGCCGACTGTGGGGATGCGGTCAGGAAGGCCGACCACACCTTGTCATGCATCCAGCATGTCCAAGGAGGTGATCCTCCCCCTCTATGCGACACTGGTCAGGCCACAGTTGGAGTACTGCATCCAGTTCTGGGTGCCGCACTTCAGGAGGGATGTGGACAGCATGGAGAGGGTCCAGAGGAGGGCCACTCGCATGATCAGGGGTCAGCAGGGCAGACCCTATGAGGAGAGGCTAAGGGACCTGAACCTGTTCAGCCTCCACAAGAGAAGGCTGAGAGGGGATCTAGCGGCCATTTACAAACTAGTCGGGGGGGACCAGCAGGCATTGGGAGAGTCCCTGTTCCTAAAAGGGTCTTTAAAAGGAGTCTGGATGAACACCTTACTCTTTCATGCCATGGCAGGGGTTGGACTTGATGATCTGCTCAGGTCCCTTCCAACCCTACCAACTATGAAACTATATTGAACAAAACTGGCCCTTGGGGCACTTCACTTGATACCAGATACTAACTAGACATTGAGCCATTGATCGAGCCCTTTGAGCCTATCAAGCCAGTTTTCTATCTACCTTACAGTCTATTCATCCAACCTGTACTTCCTTAGCTTGCTTGAAAGAATGTTGTGGGAGACCATATCAAAATCTTGCTAAAACCAAGGTATATCATCCACTGCTTTCCCCACATCTACAGAGCCAGTCATCTCATCTTAGAAAGTAATCAGGTTGATCAGGCATAATATGCTGCCTGTTCCTAACACCTCCTCCTCCAAGTGCTTAGAAATAGATTCCCTGAGGACCTGCTCCATGATTTCTCCAGGAACTGGGTAAGGCTGACCAGTCTGTTGTTCTTTGGATCCTCCTTCTTCCCTTTCTTGAAGCTGGGCACAATATTTGCCCTTTTCCAATCACCTGGGACCTCACCTGACTGCCACACATTTTCAAATATAATGGCCAATAGCTCTGTACATCTGTCAACTCCCTCAGCACCCTTGGGTGTATCACATCCACCCCGTGGACTTGTACATGTCCAGCTTTTCTATATAGTCCATACCCTGTTCTTTCACCACTGTCAGCTGCTCACCTTCTCCCCAAACTCTGCTGCTAGGTGCAGTACTTCGGGAGCTGACCTTGCCTGTAAAGACAGGTAAAAAGGGACTGAGCATTTTAGCCTTTTCTGCATCATCTGTCACTAGGTTGCCTCCGCCATTCAGTAAAGGATCCACACTTTCCCTGATCTTCCTCTTGTTGCTAACATACTTGTAGAAACCCTTCTTATTAGCCTTCACATCCCTTCCTATCTGCAACTCCAATTGTGCTTTGGCCTTCCTGAGTTCATCCCCGCATGCCTGAGCAATACTCATACTCCTCCCTAGTTGTTTGTCCAAGTTTCCACTTACTGTAAGTTTCCTTTTGTATTTTAGCTTCCTGAAGAGTTCTCCGCTAAGACAAGCTGGTCTTCTGCCATACTTGCTAGCTATATTGTTCTAATTTGCCAGAGATCAAGAACACAGCCCATGGCTGCCCTCTCCAACACCCGCACCAGGTAGTGTTCCCCACCACTCTCCAAAAAATTCTGGGATTGCCTGTGCACTGCTGTATTGTCCTCCCAGCCAATGTCAGAGTAATTGAGGTCCCCAGCAAGAACCAGGGCCTGTGATCAGGAATCTGCTAGCTGTTTGAAGAAAGCCTCATCCACCTCTTCCTCCTCATTTGGTGGTCTATAGCAGACACCCACCATGACATAACCCTTATTCCTCTGGCCCTAACCCAGACACTTTCAACAGGCCTATCTCTTGTTTTGTGCTGAAGCTCTGACCAATCCTACAGCAATTTTACATACAGCACAACTCCTCCTCCTCTTCTCCCCTGCCTGTCCATCCTGAACAATTTATATCCATCCATGACAGGGCTCTAATCATAGAAACATAGACAATTAGGGTTAAAAGGGACCTCAGGAGGTCATCCATTCCAACCCCCTGCTCAGTCATGTGATCTACCCCACCAAGTCTCCATTATTCCACTCATCATAATTCCATGACTGTGTGAGAACTTTCAATCCTTGCTGTTTGAGGTAAGAAAGTTCCCAGTAATTTTGGTTGTGCATGTAGATGCCTGTGGCCTGGTGCATGTTAAATCATGAACCCCATTAACAACAGTTATAGGTGTGAAAACACAACTGTAGGGTTTGAACTAGGGAAAAAAAAGGTTTATGTAATTAGAGATAAGCAATGTAGCCTCTTTAGAGTGGTGATGACTGCACTCCCAAGAGCCACTCATGCTTTTGGTCTTGATTGTATATGCATGGCCCTAAAGTGATTACATTTACTTAATTTCTGGGATTTGGCCTGTGGGAAGTAAAGAGTAAGTGGGCAAATTGTGCTTCTCAGCAGAGCTCCCAGATTCAGTATAGTGGCAGGTAAGACGTGCTCAATCTGCTTGTTACCAGGTCCTCCTAGTGGGTGCTGTACTGAGAGCAGTAGCACTTGTGAAGGCTGCTGATCCAGGCTGGAATATGCTAAGCCCAGAAGAAATAGAGAATTGAGCTACCCACGTTTAACAAGCCTCTACTAAGCATGTTCCAACTGATTTTTCAAAGATTTATAATTTAGTCTATATCAGGCAGATTTACATGGGCATGGCAACTGGTGCAGCCCTGACAAAGGCAGATCTCCAGGTAATTTCAAGATCCAGCTCTGAAGCATGTGGTCATTCCAGTGTCTCTAAAATATTTGTAAGGATTGTAATATCTTTTTTTGAGGGGAGGGGGTTGGAGGTGGGGGAGGTAATATTCATGCTTTGTCCCTATTTTTTCCTCTAATCCTGTTCCTGGAAGTGACTGAATCATCTTAGTAGAAAAGAATGCAGCCTGAGGCATAGAAAATTTCAGCTCCCACAGTTCAAGTTTGGCAAAGCTATAAGTAAAGACATGGGGAAATGTCAGACAGCTTTATCTGCCCATGGAACTACCTGCTCTGCCTATAATATGTAACAGATAAGAAATTATATATCTAATCAATGTAAAATACAGAGAAAGTTTCAGTATTTCCAAACATGCATCTCACAAAGAGCAGATAGAGTATTACAAAGCATCTGAACACTCTCCCCTGCTTACGTTATTACGATGTTACATATATAAAGGCCATGGCTTCTTCAGCAGCAGTTTCTTCAGATAAATTTAACTACTGTGTGCATATGTACTAGGGGTATGAGAAAAGCACCGTTCCACTTCGACGTCCGTACTGATGTTTTGACAGAACAGGGTTTCATTTCAAGTTTCATTTAGTTTCAAAAGCATTGTTCCGTTTCGTTTCATCGAAACTGTTTTGCTGATTTGACGCTGTTTCAATGTTTCGCCCATAGGCTATAATGGGGAAGCACAAAACTGCCTATAACTTTGTCATTTCTAGCCTGATTCAGATGAAAATTGCAGGGATGGTAGCCCCTTCTGAGTGCATGAAGCCTGCAAAGTTTAAAGGAGATAGGTGCAGAGGTTTCTGGGAAACTGCACCTCAGGGTACTGACAAGCAAAACTGTCGCTGGCAGCGGCAGCCTCCTGTCATCCGGCAAGCAGATCCGGGGGCCCACACCCCCGGGAGGACTGTGCCAGTGGTTGCGAGGCAGAAGGTTACTGTTCTCAGTCTATTACATGAGCAAGGAAGGAGATGATAGCTCCCTAGC